AGCGATAAGATTACGGATTTACAATGCTTTAATCCGGGGCTCGATTCCCCTTAGTTGACAGAGCGCCAGATAGCTTACTGTGTAGCATTATTTTTAAACAAACAAATATTTAAAACCTATTTTGCCAAATATGGATAATGTTAGCATTATAGATTTACAGCTTTTATTATTTCTTTGTGGATATAATAACTGAACGTGCATGTATGAATTATCTAAGTAGGTAAGCTTTAACTGGTACGTTTGTGTCTACCATATGGAACCAGCAGCACAATATAAATATATATCCTCATACACGTCGTCCAGCCTAGCTGACGAGTTATAGTATTCAACGAAAGGACTTCTGAGCAGAGACTTGTGAGAGACAAAAGTTATATCTCAAATTACATTTCTGCATAGTTCTGATCAAAAACACGAAATGATTTATCAATGAGTGCGTGAGAAAAACGAACGTTTGTTTTTTTACGAGATTTTTTTATCAGAAATGTTAGTCCTTCTGGCTCCACCTACTCCTTCGACCGACCTCGTAGCGACAGTCTGTAATAGTTGGTAATAATCAAGATATGTTTTACTCAACTTCGTTCTCCTTGTACGTAAGTCCTAGGCTCTTTAGTTACACTACATTGATGCCCACCCAGATATCACCATGATATTATGATAAACAAACTGTTAAAGAAAAGAAACCCTCAACAATCACCCAGTCTGATAGTATAGAAGACACTCATGTATAAAATAACCGATTATCAGCTTTTCTAATGTCAAGTGTGTGTAGTCGTGTTTGTTTGTGTGTATGGAGCTCTAATACTTTTAAAAGGAAGAACATACTGAATTCTCTTTTTTCTGTAAAGAGCATTTTTAAAACTATTTTATAGCGTAAGATTTTACTAGGATTGTGTAATCTAAAGCAGCACACCAAATTACAGCGTCATCAATCATATCAGACCAATCTCTAATAGCGTTTTTTTTTTTTGTTATTTTTTTTAATTGCGTCAGTCCTGCAGTATTGGTTAAAGTAACCAGGTAGAAATATTTTTTTCTTCTTTTGATGATGTGATGAATGGTTTTGAAATTGCCATAGGAAAAAAGAAGATCTCGCAAAACGGGAACCATAATGATATACTTCGTTTATACTTTGTAAACTGGAGTAAAAATAGAGATAAAAAAGCTGATTATACTCTCTTGGTCAGAAATAAAATTATAATAAAGTCCAACCGTCTTCTCGAAATTCATTATTCTCTGTTAGACTGCAGTGGTTCCCAAACTCTTTTAGTCTGAGGCTCCCTTCACGTGAAAAAGAAATTTTGAGGCCCCCCAACTTATAACTTTAGCATGGTGGTTGAAAAACAGTGCCGTAGTAAAAACAATAACATTTCTTTTCAACAGACTGTATCATTTAAGTAATTCAACATAATTTTTTATCGGTTTATTGTTTATTTAGAATTAAAATTAATCCAGCATTTTTGTTTTCGGCCCATTTTTTCGTTGGCCCTCAGGGGGGGGGGGCGATTTCCACTTTGGGAAATACTGCGCTAGAGGAATGGTACGAGTGAAAAACACCGTTGTCTTTTCGTCTGACGTTTGCTGAACATCAGTCGTTCGTACCGTATTATCGGTTAGTTCAGACAATCTTGTTTGTTTTTTTATATTAATGTTAATAGTTATATTTGGTGAACCGTTTTATTCAGCTCTGATTTAAGTTTGCTAATTATTAACGTCTTTATTTCGGACCTACAACAGAATCCACCACCATTGGGCAATTCGGAAATAGTTCATTATTAATCCAGAATGTGGTACTAATTTAAAGACCTTGGAAAATCTCGTCGCAACAAATCTCGTAATCTCTTTAGAACAGGAAGTGCTAGAGAGAGATGAAACTACAACCTTGGGAAAATTGTTAAACCATTTCAATTGTTAAACCATTGTTAAACCATTTCAATTGTTAAACCACTTCGAAGTACATTTTTGGGGAAGCAAGTGATACATTATTGACGAATTACCATAACAAATTTCTATCAAAACAAAAGGTCAGTAATACGATTTATTCCACAGATTGACTTCGTGGTGCAGCCGATTATATGAAAATGAACTTTCGGTACGGACTTGAAATACACACAGAAACCACCTTTTCAGAAAATCAATTATAATGTAAATATCCAACCTACTTATGGCGTGTTTCTTAACTAAAGCTTCTGAAAATAAATTCACTTGCGCTGTGATTTGTAACCATTTTGTTATCCAATAAGCCACATTAAATTCTATAGAAACGTGAATTACGTGATAAGGAGACCTGTACAAAGTGGTCTTGTCCGCCAGGGGGAGTGCAAGAATATCGAATAACAGGGATTAATAATCGATATGTCTTTAATCGATAAAGCCAACACATCCGTCACTCGAGACTTATATCACACCAGTAGTTGAATAGGCTGAATACTCGATCATGTTGAACATTGGAATGATACCGAACACATCCGTCACTCGAGACTTATATCACGCCAGTAGTTGAATAGGCTGAATACCCGATCATGTAGAACATTCGAACATTGGAATGATACCGAACACCTCCGTCACTTGAGACTTATATCACACCAGTAGTTGAATAGGCTGAATACTCGATCATGTAAAACATTCGAACATTGGAATGATACCGAACACATCCGTCACTTGAGACTTATATCACACCAGTAGTTGAATAGGCTGAATACTCGATCATGTAAAACATTCGAACATTGGAATGATACCGAACACATCCGTCACTCGAGACTTATATCACACTAGTAGTTGAATAGGCTGAATACTCGATCATGTAGACCATTCGAACATTGGAATGATACCGAACACCTCCGTCACTTGAGACTTATATCACACCAGTAGTTGAATAGGCTGAATACTCGATCATGTAGAACATTCGAACATTGGAATGATACCGAACACATCCGTCACTCGAGACTTATATCACGCCAGTAGTTGAATAGGCTGAATACTCGATCATGTAGAACATTCGAACATTGGAATGATACCGAACCAACACAGTAACAGGTATCTTTCTTTCACCATTGACCAGAAATGGACCGGCTGTAAATACGATTTCAAATTGTTCACAAAGAATGGTTTTCTTCCTTTTTTGTTATCATTTTCATGATACGTTCGCACATGTCTTTATACATACCTTTATATATGTCTATTGACATACCTTTATACGTGTCTATTGACATACCTTTATACGTGTCTATTGACACACCTTTATACATGTCTTTACACATATCTATATACGTGTCTATTGACATACCTTTATACATACTTTTATACATTCCTTTATACATACCTTTATACGTGTCTATTGACATACCTTTATACATGTCTCTATACATACTTTTATACATGTCTCTATACATACTTTTATACATGTCTATTGACACACCTTTATACATGTCTTTACACATATCTATATACATGTCTTTACACATATCTATATACATGTCTTTACACATACCTATATACATGTCTTTACACATACCTATATACATGTCTTTACACATACCTATATACATGTCTTTACACATACTTTTATACATGTCTCTATACATACTTTTATACATGCCTTTATACATGTCTCTATACATACTTTTATACATGTCTTTATACATGTCTCTATACATACTTTTATACATGTCTTTATACATACTTTTATACATGTCTTTATACATGTCTCTATACATACTTTTATACATGTCTTTATACATGTCTCTATACATACTTTTATACATGTCTTTATACATGTCTCTATACATACTTTTATACATGCATTTATACATTCCTTTATACATGCCTTTATACATGTCTCTATACATACTTTTATACATTCCTTTATACATGCCTTTATACATGTCTCTATACATACTTTTATACATTCCTTTATACATGCCTTTATACATGTCTCTATACATACTTTTATACATGTCTCTATACATACTTTTATACATGCATTTATACATTCCTTTATACATTCCTTTATACATGCATTTATACATTCCTTTATACATACTTTTATACATGCATTTATACATTCCTTTATACATACTGTTATACATGCATTTATATATTCCTTTATACATACTTTTATACATGCATTTATACATTCCTTTATACATGCCTTTATACTAATTATAATAATTTTATCCCCAACTTCTTCAAACGAAACCTAGTCATGCCATTATTAAACAGAATATTTAATCTCTGCTCGAATTACTTAATTTTACACGAAGAAATTACATTCATGCACAAACACCTGTTAAGTAATGGTTATCCGAATGATTTTCTAACAAATATTACACGCATTCCCGAACACCACATTCCAGCCACCTACTATTCTGTACACCGCCTCCAAATTTCTCCTCATTATGGGTTCACAATCCTTACAAATTAAAACAAAAAAACTCTCCTCTCTAATAAAAAACTTCTACCCTCAAATTCAGCTTATAATAATATACAGACCTAGCCTCCGAATTATGCACTTATTTCAGTACAAAGAACAAGTACATAAACTTCTACGTTCATTGCTCGTGTATAAATATACGTGTAATGACTGTAAGGTCACGTACATTGGCAAAACAAAATGGCACTTATAAACTGGAGTCTCTGAACACTTAGGAGTATCTAACAGAATTAACCGTCCATTACTTAAACTCAACCACTTATCCATTGGTTCACATTCTGAAACCACAGGTCACAAAATTTCATTTAACGACTTCTCTATCATTAAAACAGGAACTCTACATTAAAGAAAGTTTACTCATAGCTAAATACCGCCCTACTATTAACGACTTACAAGCCTCTTTAGACCTAAAATTATTCTAAACTTACTCAATTGTTTCGAAATATAATCTATAATCTATTTGTTGTTGTTGTTCTTTTATCTTTCCGTTTACCACTTTATTCAATAACTAAGTAAACTAGTGGTCAATGATACTATAGTTGTAGTTAATAAATATCTTTGTAACACTATTTTCAGATTTCGCTGAAGATGCAATAAGTGTATTCCGAAACGTTCGAACATTGTTTGTTTGTAATCAAGCACAAAGCTACACAATGGGCTATCTGTGCTCTGCCCACTACGGGTATCGAAACCCAGATTCTAACGTTGTAAGTCCGTAGACATACCGCTGTACCACTGGGAGGGGCACGAACATTGTAAATAAAATGTTTGTATTTTGAACTGGTTCTTCACATTCCTTTGCTATCTGTTTCTCTCTCTCTAAAGATTTAAGCCTCCAAGGTGGCTCAGCGGTAAGTCTGCAGGCTTACTACGTCAAAAATCGGGTTTCGATACCCGTGGTGGACAAAGAACAGATAGCCCATTGTGTAGCTTTGTGGGTAAGAATAACCTAACCAAAAGATTTAAAATATGTTTAATTTGTAAAGGATACGTTTATTATTCTATTATTGTGATCACTTTATTGAGAAAGGTTAAAATGGATGCTTATTTTTATATTATAAACGGATTTTATAGTTTGTGCCAGCAAGAGACAACGTTTAGAGAGGGAGTTTATCCTATTCCTGGATTTCCAACAAGTGAAATGCAATTAGGACTCACCCTCCCACCCAACCAACCCCCAGTGGCACACCGGCATGTCTGAGGACTTACAACGCTAGAAACCGGATTTCGATACTCGTGGTGGGCAGAGCACAGATATCCCATTGTGTAGCTTTGTGCTTAACATATGAATGAAATGCTTAACTACAAACAAACAAAGCAATTAGGAAGACATTTATCATCATCAGTCTTTAACTGTTTTCATAAAATTAATGAACAACAGATTAACAGATTAAGTAAAACAGGCACTCACTAAAAGCACAAATCAAGAATTCTAAGGTCTCCTATAAAAGAGAGCTTGTGATGTGATTATGAATATATTTCTAATACAATCTAGCGATTAACATCACCTAATTAACAATTCGGCTTAAGATAAATTATTCGTTTCTTTGTGAGGTGGTTTTAAGTAATAATATGTCAAACAATATTGGAAAAAAGGGTTCTTTAAGTTTGAAACCGCAATAAATAGAGCGTAAGCATGAAACCAGGTTTCAGAATTTTCGCGCTAAGCTATATAAGGGTTAAAAGTGAATTGCCGTTCCTAATTTTGAACTGACAGACTAGTGAGAAAGCGATTAGACAACCCAGTCCACTGTCAACTTTTGGCTACTTTGACAGTCATTTTTATAACGCACTCAAGACTCCAAAGTGCGAAACAAGTTTTAGCATAGGAACGCGAGTCACGAATCCTGTGATTCACAGTACGAGCACGCTCCACGCCCACGCACGAGAAAATTCGATGAAGAAGTATGCCCATATCATTCCAATCAACTAAATATCGGATTTAAAAATCAATATACATTATTCATTAAAGAAAGATATATTCTGTAATTTACTGTCGACATAAATATTTAGAACTAGTCCCAGTGACGTAAACCGAAAACATCGCTGAGCAAGGATATCGAACCGATGAATCAATGTATTCTAATTATTATACGTTTTTCCTTTACGACATTACATCGTAATTAGTCCAGTATATGAAATAAGCTGTATTAATTAAGGTGAGACGAAAGGATCACGTGAGTCTAAATACGTAACACATTTCTTTCTTTGTAGGAGTGAATGACTGTTACCATAATCAAATACCCTAAGTTAAACGGATATGATTTCTTAGACTTTTAGAGGCATGATTTATTTATATTTTCCTCTTCATGCGATATCATTGTTAAGCCTACTTAGACAATTCTAAAATAACTTTACGAGCCATTATATTAATGTAGAATCATTTCAAAGTTGAAAAAAAAATACGGTCGTAATTAGTACTTCAAGAGAGTTGCATTAGGCTTAATGTTTCGATTTTCTTTCGCAATCTTAAGCATAATACACAACTATTTCAGTCATGATGGAAGCTACAAGAAAGTTTTGTTAGGCTTAATACTTTGATTTACTTAGGTGATGTAAAAAGTAACATTTTTTTTTCAGTGTTGTTTTGTAAAAAAAATCTATAAAATGCATATAACAGAGTTTCAAGTTAAACAGGTAAATAGCTTATCAATTATCTTCTGTAGTAAAATTAGAGAAATCACACTTTTCATTTTGTAACAAAAAGTAGTGGAACAAAAGTTAGTCTGTCAGCTAGTGTAAAAAAATACAGCTAAGCCTAACACGATGATAACGGTGTAGACTTATGTAAAGTAAACTTTACGACCCAGGCGCGGGTCTAGTGACTAGCACGACCAGGCGTGGATAGAAAGGTTCAAACCACGATATGCTGCTGTTGGACACTTTGTGTGCAACCAGCTGTGGGAGAAAGAAATATAACTGTAACACACGGTCTCGCTGTCTGATAAAGAGTAGGCTCGGTAAGATTATAGTGTTGCTGGCTGGTTGTCCTCACTCATATTAGTAGTTAAATTTAAGATGGCCATGTTTGAACGTTAGGAGTCTCGGATCTAACCGTTTTTTAACATAAGCTGCTGTTCAGGTCGAAAATATTAAATTAGATTACTTATAGAAACAAACTGTCGTGTGTTGTTGTAAAATATTTCGTTATTCAACAAAAGGAGGTTTGCTCAATGTACAAATTATCATAAAACAAACTCATTAGCTATAGAGTGGTGTGAAGAAATTATTAATTTATATATATATATATATAAATCATTATATACAATGCTATACAATACATTAATTGTTCGTAGGCGATTAAAATCAGCACTATAAAACGATAATGAACTTAATATAAACCAGAAACAACAACATCAAATGGAAACTCAATACCACGCCTCCGCTATCATTCCTTGCTGTTGTCCTTACGTCACAGCGGATAATGCCTGTGGTCATAGCACCCAATATTTCATCTATCAAGTAAAATACAGAAGCCGATGAAAAACTTGCCAGCAACTAAGGTAAATCAGTTAAGGGTTAGGAGTTGAGTTCTTGAACCCACAATGTCTCAACTCCAACTGCCTTTCATTGTCTGCAGCCAGTTGTGGGAAGGCAGTTACCCTGATATTTAGAAATAACTTTAATGTAGAATTAAACCAACCCGATTCAGATTCTACAAAGTAAACCTCCCAACCTCCACCCATTTAACTGATGTTATAAATAATAATATAATATTCATATAGTCGAACTAAGCCACCCTATATTTCTACAGAACTACCAACAATATCCTAATGAACGAGATGTAGAAGACACCATTAATCAGAAGAAGCTTAATATTAATTATAGTATTTTGGCATTTGCGTATAAAGTTAAAATCATAAATAATATTCAACGTTAAACTGGTA